AAAAGCCCAGGTGGACTCTGCAAAAGAAGCCCTGAAATCAGTCTACAGCATTAGGCAAGCGCATCTCATATTGTACTTGGGCCAATGGCAGAGTACTGTGGAGTGTACCAAGGACAACCACATGCCCACAACAGTTTCAAAGTAAAAACAGTCCTTTCATGACTGAATACTCCCAGGCAGTGCAAGACTGTTAGAATTTCAGCAAATGTACCCAAGGCCACACAGTGAGCTCAGAAACCACAAAGATGTGTCTCAAGTCAACATCAATCATGAGAAGTCTCAGAACAAGAAGGAGGAGACTCAAGACTGACTGTCCTTAAGATGAGCTTTAGAAATCTCTTGTCCCCAGTCCTGAGAAACAGGGATACAACTGGGTCAAGTGGTGTTAAAGAAAGTGGCAATGAAGGTTGTGATTGCAACCATTCAGTCCTATTTGGTGAGTAACTTACCAGCATATTGTCCCTGAGTGTGACATTACAGCCTTGCACCTTGTCACTAGCAAGAAAGAAGACCCAGTCTGATCTCATACTTACATTGACTCCTGAGAGATGTCTATGTAGGAAATATCTTCTATTTCATTTACAGAGTTTGGTTGGGTTTTTATTTATTTGGCTGTGTTTACTTTTGTCTGTCAATACAGGGTATTGGACCTAGGACCTGTTACATGGTAGATATATGTTACTACTCGTCTATATTTCCAGACTTCTCCACTGATATTTTCTTTTGACTGAAAGTCTCAGGACCCTATACAGGCTGTCCTTGAACTCAGTCTGTAGCCATGCCTTACAGCAGGTGATTCTTCTGCCTCAGATTCCAGGCTAGCTGGGATTACAGGCCTCCACCAACAGGCTTTTTCTTCATTTGTATTTGAAAACAAGGACTTGGGTATATTTCTTCTTCCAAGAGAAGAATTGAACAGTACAGTTTCTCCCAGAGGGCCATTAGTTATCTGCGCTGGTTTTTTAGCTTCATTTAGTCTGCAAGCTTCATGGTGTCTTGAAAATCAGCAACTAAGTTTTTTGTATGCAATAGGAAATCTTGGCATATGAAAATGCACTGACCACAGTATGGGAAAGGCCAGATCCGCAGGATTGTAACAGTATGGACCTCTCACACAGGTCACGAAGGCTTGACATCTTTCTACACCCGGTCCACATCAAACCTCTTAATAAAACTTGAAGATAAGCCAAAAGAGCAAACGAGGAACTAAAACCCGACTGAGACATCCATCTTGCCAAGAATGGTGACTGTTGCTTCTCTAGTCATAGTTTACAAGGTTAACCATTTATCCTTTTGAGAAATCAACCTAGCTATAATCCCCAAGACTGGTCCCAAGCAGGACAGGATGAGAAAATAGTCATTAATCAAAATAAGCTCCAAAATTTCCCTCACTTGTTGGGAACTCAAGTGATCTTAGGACACATCCCTCACAGGATATGGGGAAATGATGATGATGCAGAGAATGGCACAGGAGTTCACCAAATCCTTCAAAAGTTAGGGTTTTCTGGAGACCTCAAAGTGACCTTGCATCAGTCTGTCCTGTGCTGTGGTCAAGTAGACAGAAAGCAACTCTCCAGAGGGAATGATCTACTGGTTATGTTGATCTGCAGCAGGGACCACAATCAAGTAAGGAAGGACAACAGGACTGTGATATCATGCAGGTGACTGTCATGTGTCTCAAGTGCAAAACCACAAAGGAAAATCAATGTCTTCTGTCAGTGGTCCAACCGAGGAACCTCACAAATATGGAGCCAATATGAAATCTGGGGGAGTACATAAGCAACTCCTCTTCTCATTAGACCTGTCCAGATGTCATTCTACAGGTACAAACATGGCCACCAAACAGTCTGTTCCTCAAACTCCTTCTGCTTTAACTTCAGGCAAAATATCTATCTGGTCTGTGGCCAGGAATAACCAAGGTCATTGTTACTAGAGATGATGTAAATATCTGTGCAATTGAGCACTAGTTACAATTGAAAAATCATCAGGACAACATGGGTTTCAGGTCAAAATTCTTAATGTAGAGATGGAGGGAGTAAAATCAGGGAGAGAGAAAGCAGAGAGTGAGGAGGAGATAAAGAGGTGGAAGGGTGGAAGAGAGAAAGATACTGTTCCTTGGTCTCAGGACCACGGATTATGGTTATCATGGCATCAGCAGGCTTAAATAGTGCCAAGTTGCACAATTCAATGTGTGGACAGCACCAGAAGCTTCTAGAATCAACTAGCCTTGCTTAAAACAGCCCACTTGGATTAGTGCAAAGGGAGCTTGTACTAAGTTGGAGAGACCTGGTTTTGAATGCTGGTGATTTCTCTCCAGTTGTGTGTCTTTTGCTGCTCATGGACTCCTGTCACATTCTTCAGGATCTGATTGAACAGGTGGATGACTTGGCAGCAAGTTTCCCTCTCTGACTGTGACTTGCAGCCTCAACCTACTTCTGTCTCCAGGGGTGCTGGGAGGACCACCCTGGGGTTGGAGTCCACACTGGGTTGTTCCAAAGGTCAGTTAGGTTCTTACACTCTGAACACTAGCCCCATATCGTCCCTGGATAAACATTCTTTCCTTTCTGTAGGTTCTAGACTCCAGTAGAAAAGGGCCACTTCTCTCCATTGCCAGTCTTAGAAAATACTTCACATTACAGGAGGAATGGTTATGGAGGGCAGGCTTATACCATTTTAATAAAGACTTGGGAGATGTTAGGACATAGGCTGGTGATAAACAGCTAAATAACTTGCAAAAGACAGTATGGGGATGGCACAATGTATTTACCAGGACAAGAGAGTCAGACTCTTGGAGGAGGCAGATTTGCAGAAGTTAGGGTCCAGCTGGAGGTACACAGTCATTCCAGTTCAGTCTAGGTCACATAGGATGAGCCTGACTTTACAAACAATTACAAACAAATGTTTAAGAAAGGCCAGACATGATGGCACAAGCAATCCATCCTAGCAAACAGGAGGCAGAAGCAAGCTGACCGGCATGTGTTCCAGGCTAGCCTGGTATACATAGAGTTCCAGGCCAGCTCTGGTCAAATGTGAGATGAGAGAGTTTTTCAAGAGGGTAGAGGACTTCTTTCTAGAGTCTGTTCTCTCTTTCCATTATGTGATTGCAAGGAATGGTACCCTGATTGTCAAGCTACGTGAAAAGCATCTTCCCCAAAGATCTGTCGACCCAGGTGAGCAGCAGGCCATAGATTTCACACTGCATTGCTCACCTTAGGTGCTTTTGAACTGTGCTGCATGTATGCAGTTTCAGACTGCAGATTCTTTCTCCTTTTTATTATTTGGTTGTTTGCCTCACTGTTACAGAGAAATCGTTAACCAAGTGTCTGTCCACTGTCCCCTGCCAATAACACTAACATCTTCTGAAGACCTGCTTCTCCCACTTGAGAAACATTAGTCATTAACACATATCTTCTGCGTGGCCTGTGTTTCCCTTCATAGAGAGCCTGCTTTGTAAACAGACCAAGTCTATTCTCTGTAAATGTGAAAACAGTGTGTAACCCTCATGGCAACAGGGCAGATGGAATTGATGCCTTCTGATTCCTTGATCACTGACCTGATTATTGAGAAAGCATGGGCATTAAGGAAGGGAGTCCCTGCACAGGCTATTTGGCTGCTCGATATGACTATTCATGGGGGTAGGTCCATCATTAAGTGGCATTGTCTGTTTCTTCAAATGGCACCTCAGTTCACTCACCATAAGCCACATTATTTGTGCTGATAGTTTTACCATTCCTGGGGTCTGACACAGGTTGGGCAGGCACTGTTCCACTGGCCCACTCCGCCCCAAACAACTGCACTGATTTTGATGGTGTGAGATGCCCTCATCCACGTGAAAGACTTGTTATACAAGGAACACTCATCCCACCCAGCTTTCCAAAAGCTCTTTAGTCAGGTATTGTGTGCAGTAGCTTAGACTTTATCAACATTACACATCATGGATGGAACTACGAGGAACAACACACAAGCCGTTCATATCTACATTTTGTACTTAATCCCTGACAGAATTACAAGTACTTTCCATAAAGTCTGATGAGCACGCAATAGGGCTTTAAAGTAAGAAGCCTTCTCACTCGGAATGTGGAGTGCAGTAGACAGACCCAGCTTCACATTCACAACTGCAGAGGCTGACATTTGTGCAATTATAGATAGAAAATCTACCTTCTGAGGAGCTGCCCTGCCATTCATTTCAGAATGAGAACAAGCCCCATTCTCCCTCTAATCAATGCTCATTACCACTTTGGTGTTGGCTTATTTTCTGCTGTTGTTTCCTCTTTCATGTTTTAAGGGAAAGTACACATTCTTTTATGGGTCTTAGCTTCTCAGAAGGAGGGGTCACATTGTACAAGGACATTTAACATGGAGACCCTAAATGAGTAACTTGAAATCCAAACTGAATGGGACAAACAAGCCATTCAGTATCAGGAGAAATCCTCATGCTGCTCTTTTAATATGAATAGAACACCAGACTTGACAGAAAACATATCAAACTGTCACAAAAGACCCTCTGAAATCACAGTGGTGGAGAAAACAGCAAAAGAATACAAATGCCCATTGACTCTTACTGAAAATACAGACAAAAGCCAAGACTGCTTTGTGTCAATTGTGACATGAGGGCCGGCTTGTTGGGGTATCTGTTCCCGCTCAGTACCCTACAGCCAGCAAGTCCCAGAGAAAATCAATCACACAGAGATCTCTTTAAGTTATAAACTGATTGGCCCATTAGGTCAGGCTTCTTGTTAACTCTTATAACTTATATTAACCCATTATTCTCATCTATGTTAGCCATAATGGCTCCTTACCTTTCTCAGCTGGGCAAGTTACATGCTGCCTCTTCGGTGGTCTGCGCAGGAGTGCCAGAGGAACCTCCCTGCTTCCCAGAATTTTTCTGTTCTCATTGCATCACCTCTACTTCCTGTCTGATTTTCCCACCTATACTGCCTGCCTGGCCAATCAGCGTTTTATTAAAATATGACTGACAGAATACAGACAATTCTCCCGCATCAGTCAATGTCATTGTTTTTTATAAAGAATGGAGGAGAAGCACCAAGGTCATCACACTGTGATTGTCCTCTCTTCTGTAGGCTGTAGAAATGGGCTTCCTTCAAGATCTGGTTAACGATGGAGTAAGCACCTTGGCCTTGGCACAGTGCATAGTCCTTGTGTGAGAACTCGGGGATATTGGAGTAACATTCAGCAATGTTCTGGTTTAAGCTGCTTTCTGGTACACTTCCTCGTACTGGGTTATTGATGCTGCTGTGGTTTCTTTCATTATCACTGCTTGACGTCTGGAAGGAGAAAGACAGAAGGAGGATGGCTATTATGATACTGTCATCATTTCCTGTTCAGCTTGAAGAATACTGGCATCACACTCCACAAAAGGCTCCACACTCTATGAAGTGCAAACACTTGGGTAGTTCCTTCCCTCCTGACAGCAGTGCTATTGCTCAAACTCGGGTTAATAGCACCCATTTGACACAACAGGAAAGAGATGTTTTACAAACCCAAAGGCGAGTCTTTGGGAATGTCTTGGAGAGGGTTCAAACACAGGTTTTCTCCCTCCAAAACCCTTCACATATCCTCTGACCCTGCAGCACCCTGCATTTTAATTACCTGACCAGGGAATTAAACTCCCAACAGCCAAGGTAAAGAAGCAATCAATACTGGAATATGTGATAGGGATAAATGAGTAAAATAGAATGCAAGCCCAAGTCCCAATGTGGCAAAGAAATGACAGGGAAAGTTCTACTTACACATACATTCACATGTGCACATGTGTATACATACCAATAACAGGATCTTTCCAAACCTATCCCTGAGAGTGAACATATGTGCACACCCAACGACCCCAAGCAAGGCTCCACTTGATTTTGAAATGATTTTGATATTTGTTAATGACAACTGTAGGTCATTGGCCATCATTTCTGATGATTAACACAGACTGGTCTCCTATTAGTGGGTTTAGTATAGTTGGTATATGGTAAATTTGTTCTCAACGTTGTCTTTCCTGAAGTAACTGTACTCTGTCATATTGCTGATATTATGTGGGATCCCACCCAAAGAGCTATATTCTGAAGTTTTCTAGACTAGGGATACAACTCAGTAGTAGAGTTCTTTTCTCACATGCATGGGAACTTGGGGTTCATCTCCTTAGGTACAGAAACTCACATTTTACACACACTCATGAAGTTCTTGCCTCTTATCTTAATACTATCAAAGGAAGAGGAGATATCACAAAGACCCTTATGTGACCAGAAATATTGAACACTATTGGTATCATACATCTAATAAGGTCATCTTTCCCTATGGTAGCTGTAATAATGACAGAAACCAAGATGTGCCCTCATTCTCTGGTCATGTGGAACTGATCAGCACACTACATCAACTACAGGTATCCAATGAGTATTTATGCAATGAGATTCATGCACTCAAAGACTTTACATGAGAGACACAAAAGTCATATGCATCTGTGGGTGAGTAACTATCAAATAGCTACCTGCGGATTTAGGGACCATGCTTGCGAAAAGGGTCAAGAGGAATCCAAAGAAACTATGCCTCTTTTAAGGCCTCTAATGTAAAAATCTAGTTGTAGCAATTTATTATATGGTATATTTATAAACACGCAAAAACCAAACAATGTATCACATTGGATAAAAACATCCAGTGCACACACTGGTTTCTCTGAGTTACATTTCCTTTCTTGGTTGTTTCATGTGATTTTGTTTATTGTTAATGGCAAGTAGGGGAATCATCACAAACAGAAGCACTTTGCTTTGCACTCTTGTGTCAGGAAGATCATAGTATCATATGAAAACTGGATATATTACACTGAGGGTTCCTGGGGTATGGTGACAAAAGTGGAGAGCTTGCCTAGCACACAGAATGCACTGGGTTTGAGCCCCGTTCAGCATTCCATGTGCTGAGCAGTACTCCTGTAGAGTCAGGTGGACTGTGGAGGATTAGAATGCTAAGGTTATGATCATCTTTAGCAACATGGGCAAGTTGTGGTTTACCTGAGTAAACTAGTAAATTAGAAACCTCATGGTTTCTAATTTCTAGCTGGCTTATAAAATTTTACCTCAGCTGTGTAGTGGCATCACTATTACAATAGTGTTTATTGTAGTTGTACAACTTCAGCATCTTGGCTATTAACAACCAGAAACCAGCAAAGAGTTTTCGTAAGGGAAGTAGCTGCCAGGGCGGATGAGCACACACCTGTAATACCAGCACTTAGGAGGCTGAAGAAGGAGGATCTAGAGGACAGTATGGGCTACATATGTGCTCCAGGAAAGCCCCAGCTATCTATCAAGAAGCTGCCAAAACAAAACCCCAGACAGATGGACAGGTAAACACAGAAGAGCAAAGAAAGAATGAAAAAAAGAATGCCGAAGGAAATTCAACTAATCTAAATGATACGTCATCTATTAATAAATAGTCTTCAGATGATATTAATTGTGTTTTTGCTAAAAAAGAATGATATTCTTGATTTCTTATGGGACACCTATTTTTCCCAAGTTCTTTGAAAACCTTAAAGTGTAGTTAATAAATCCCAATACTACGTATTGGTTCAAAAAATACTCATGTTGTCTAAGTTATATTCTATTGTTGTGAAGAAACCATGACCAAGGCAACTTACAAAAGAGAAACGCATAGTTTCAGAGGTCAGTAAGCACTCATGACCACCATGGGGCATACATAGCAGCAGAAAGGCGGACACGGTGCTAGAAAAGTGCTGAGAGCTTGACAAACAATCAGGAGGGAGGGAGGGAGGGAAGGAGGGTGGGAATAAGGACGGGAGAGAGGGATAGAGACATACAGAGAGATAGGAACAGCATGTAAGATAACCCCAATGGTGCAGTAGTGGCACATGGACTAGTGGTGACCTACAGATCCTCAATCTTCAGTCCTGCTCAGGAGGAGGGAAATCACACCTGGTACAGGAAACCTTGGGGTAGTTAAAATAATGAAATCTGCAGAAGCAGTAAGTGCCCCTTTAAGAAGACATCATAACCCCTAACTACACTGCAAATATTTACCCTTATACCCAGACAGAAGTGCAGTCCTCGTGCAGCATCATGGAAACATCTTCTTCCAACAGACAGAGACCATTAAAGAAAACCACAACTAATGAAAATGCAGCACCGTGGAGCCCAGTCCCAACAGACACAAGGAAGAGAATGGAAGAGGGAAAGAAAGATTGCTCAAACAAGAGGATCATGAAGTTTCCTGTGAGCCGGTGTCTCCTAGGAATGTCAGATGCTACACCCATGGTCTCACCAACGTGAGTGAAAAGTGAACTGAAGAACAACCACCACAGACATGCCAAAGTGGCCAGGAAATACCCAGCACACCTCAGGGCTATGAAAAACAAAACTGAAAACAAACCTATAGGCAACAAAGGGACACTGGAAGTGGGAGAACAAAGCCCACAATTTGGTATTGATTATCCAATACCAAATGCCCACTCCAGAATATATGCAAACAAATAATATTATAGGGACTGAATAGGCTGTATTTCTCTCTCTCTCTCTCTCTCTCTCTCTCTCTCTCTCTGTGTGTGTGTGTGTGTGTGTGTGTGTGTGTGTGTGTGTGTGTGTGTACGGGCACGCATGTGTGTTTTCAATGAAAGAAAATAAACGCCAAAATTTGATATTGAGCAAAAATGAGCAGTAGATGAAAGGGTTCCAGGGATAAAGGCAAGGTTGAAAGGAGGTAAGTATATTAGAATCTTAAAAATAAAATGAGTGGAAGATGAAAGCCACCTGCTCTAGGCAGTGCACTATGGGAGGAATCCTCACAGACGAGTGTAACCACTGGGGAGAACAAGAGCTCAAGACTGGTGAGGATGATTTGGAGGACAGACAGATGCTGATATGATGTGGGTTTGTGGCCCCTAGGGGAATTCTCCAGCCATGAAATGTGAAGGAGCAGACATGGTAAGAACATGTGGAGAGCTTGGGTGTCTTGCTAAGAACTCTATTGAGCTGCACAGACAGGTGCTCTTGTGGATGGATGGGAGAGGAGGACAAATATGACAGAGTACACCCACAAAGTTTTGCAAAGTATCCAGAAACAGAACGCACAGGTCTTGGTGATATTGACAGAAGCAGAAAGCAACATCTGGTGACACCCAGAGAGCGAAGGGGAGACAGTCGCTGAGAACAGTGCACACACAGAGAGAGAAAAATGTCCCAACCACTGCAGACATCACCTGGCAATTTCCATATTCCTGCCTTTGAGCTTAGCATGCTCCCCAGATTGATTTCTCTGGTGTAAGCTAAGGCAAAGGAAGGGGCAGGTGCAGATGGTAAGGTGCAGTGAGAAGCTGTAGAAAAGAACTGGCAAACAGGAGGTGGTGGGAATGCAGACAGCAGCTTCAAATCAAAGGTGAGGAGGAAGGCAGCACCTGGAAGAAGTATGGCCAGTCTCCAATGAGTGGAGAGAAAGCCTCCATTGGTAGTGATACAATTCCTGGGGAAATGGAAACAAAAGCAATAAGGAAGAAAGTTATCCTGAAGTATCATCCCAAATACTGAATGGAAATTCATGAATATGCATGATATACAACTAGATAATGCCTCCTAAGGTAAAAAGCAAGTGAATTTAGCATTTTTTGATCTTCAACTCTGGCTTTTCATCCAATTCTGTGCCTATATACCTCAGAGATACTCATTTCTGTGTCCCCAACAGTGTAATGAAATTCACCCTTAGTGTTCGCTGCACCCCAGGAATTACGTGATGTTGTTTACTAACCAAAACTGACAAGCCCTAAAAAGCCCACTAAAGTCCTTTGACTATTAACTGCCAAAAGCTCCTCACATTTACAAGGGCAGACCCTGCTTCACTGATCCCACCAAACACTGCACACTTGAGTCAGAAGGCACCCAAGAAAGCAGATTGTTGGATTACTACCACTTTGCAAATGAACAAGGGACTGTTCATTTTCAAATGGAAAATTCTGTATGCAGGAAGGGGGCCTAATTCAGGCTATCTGAAGAAAGAAAGGTAAAATTGAGCCAGACCTTGAGTGCTAATGCGCATTGTAACTGAAAAATTCCACCTCTGATACAAATCATATGACCTCATCTGTGTGAAAGGAATGAGTGGAGTTTGAACAAGGCAAACAAAAGACGACTAGGAAGCCTTAATGTAGAATACATGTTTATCATCAATTGACAACTCAAGAGTTTAAGATGGACTTGCATATGAGAATGCTCGCCATACTTTGGCATGCTCCATGGTCAAGGGTTCTTAAAACGTCTACAAGCTATGACGCCCCTTTAGCACA